ATGCCTCAAATGCTGCATTTTCTAAAAAATCCTTGGTTGGGGGTGGGAGTAGGGAAGGAAAATTGAACTTTTGGGGGGAAAGGAATCCTTTGTGAAAGGTTCCCACAGACAATCAAAGAAACATTTGCTCTTCTCTGTGGCTGCAGAGAAGCTGAGGACATGCATGATTTGTTCTGAAAACATACTAGCTCTCATTTCAAAAACAAAAGTGTACCCATTCAAATGGCTTTGAAATACCCATGAAATAGGATTTCTGAAGAGAAACGTGCATATGGATCCAATATAAGACAAGTACATGTTATTCTTCGGCCAAACATTTAAGAGTGAGCATAATGTTTAGATATAGAGGCTTACTAAAGGAAAGACTTCAAAATAATTAAGAAAAGATTCCTAGGTTTTAAGGAAACCTTTTTCTATAAAATGCTACCTAAAAAATGTCAAGTCTCTCTCTTAGATCATTCATGCAATTGTGCTTTTGCATTTAAATTTTCCAGTATTCAATAGTCTGGAGAATGGCAAGACTTCAACAATTTGTTGTTCAGATATATGCAGGAAAAAGGAGCATTAAAGGACTGCATCCTTGACAAAAGGTCTCTTTCAAGCATCCAACTTCAGCAGTACTTTCCTGTAGCTACCCAATAAATAAAAAGTACACTTTCTTACAAATTCAGGGGTTCTATTCTGATGGGCTCTGCACAGACAAACAACAAAGGGAATGATTTGTTATAATAATATTTAGCATTTATATAGCACTAGCAAATAAAGGCCACTACTGGATTGGGTTCCATTGTGCCTGGTGCAATAATATAAACTTACAACACTTAGCCATAGCTTACAGTCTAAAAGGCAAAATGCAGCAAGTAGATAACAGGCAGGTTGGAGTGGGCAGGGCAAGATTAATATAACAACATGGGCACAAATCTTAGCCAATCAGTAGCAGTGATCACTGGTCTCCAAATAACCATCTCTTCTTTCTTCCCCACCCCCTCAGTAATTTGTACCCTTCTCTATTTCCTTCTTCAATCCATTTAACATGCTTTTATCCAACCATCATCATTAGATGTACAATTTACAAAACGCCTTTTTACAGACGAACTTATGAACTCCAGTTCATCAGCCTACTAGATTAACCAAAAAATTATGGATTAAATACAGACATTGGATTTATGACACATTATAACATGCCTAACATATGACACCCCAGGTAACCTCTCTACTACTTACCAGCTATATTCTATCACCAGGTCTACATTCCTCTTCCCCCCCGCACCTGCGTCTCACCCATTGACTGCCTCAATTTGCTTTCTCATTCTCTCTCACGTGCCTATTGGCCTCTGGCTCCTTTTCTATTCCATCCAGGAAGAGCGCAGACCAACTGCAACCTAATGAAGGGTATTTGTACCCACAGGCTTGCAAAGAAGAATTTTTCCAATTATTTTAGTTGGTCTAATAAAAGATATCAGGTTTACTCAGGGAACCTTGTCTGCCTGTGTCCTTGGACCAACATGGCTACAATCTATACCTCTAAAAGTATGTTGATATTTTTCTACATATTTTCATACACACTTTGTTCCTTAAATAAAACTTTTCTGAACGTTTCCTAAAAGGAATGGCTTCAGTGTGATGTGGAACAGGTTATTTGAGCATTATATGCTGTGTCTACACATTGGAGATGTTTTCTCTATGCAGAGTAGGTTGGTTTAATTGCCAGTCCGTCAGGGAACCCACCTACAGAAACAAAATGATAGCTCTCATAAGGATGTCTCCACCCAGGGTATATCTGGGACACCTGATATGGGAGGGCAAGAGGGACAGCCATGGGACTCTTCAGCCTGGAAAAGTGCTCAGGGGTGACCTGGTGGCAGCCTATAAGTACAGCCTATAAGGGGTGTGCATCAGGATTTGGGGGAACACCTGTTCACCAAAGCACCCCAAGGGATGACAAGGTCCAACGGTCATAAACTCCTCCAAGGTCGTTTTTGGCTGGAAATAAGGAAAAAACTTCTTTACTGTTTGAGTCCCCACAGCCTGGAATAGACTCCCTTCATAGGCGGTGCTAGCACCTACTCTGGACTCTTAAGAAACATTTGGATGCTTATCTTGCTGGGATCTTTTGACCCCAGCTGACTTCCTGCCCCTGGGGCAGGGGGCAGGAGGCAGGACTCTATAATCTCCCGAGGTCCCTTCCAGCCCTAATGTCTATGAACTTGGTATTTGAAAATATATTATTCTAACCATTTGCATGTATGCTGTTGCTTTCCTCCAACTTCCAGCTGCCCCATTTAGATCATAAGCTTTGGGGAATGGTGGGCTTCATACTTTCTGAAAATCAGATCCCTTTCAAGTAGTCAAAGTCACTATTCAGACTTCTGAAAATCTTGGACTTGGCTTCAGTGGGATCAAAAGGGGACTCTTTAGGAGAGGAGGCAAGAGTGAAGATTTCTGGCTCTCCTGCACCTTTGTACACGTTTTTCATCGTCAGACACAAAATAAGTACCCGTGCTTTCTACATTTCTAAAAAGTGAGTTATTTTAAAAAATAATTTGCAGATTTCCTTTAGTGATAAGTTACCCAGGTCCCAAAAATGTGAAGAACATATTTAGTTTCCAAAGAAGCCTCCTTTCCAAGTCACTATCCTAACAGAACTTTACTTTACAGACTGAGTAGGTGTCAAGTGTCTTAATGTCTTGTCTTATACAAACATTTGGATTTTTGTATATCATTTTAATTGTGTTATCATTTTAATTAAAAACTGCATATAAAATAATACAGAAGAAATAATACAGAAAAAAACTGCACATAAGCAATACCTTTTTCCACAAACACTATAAGAATATACATCTGATCTTATACATAATGAGATCAGTTTATTTGGCCCAAACTTTGAAAAAAGCTTGGGACTGTATACCTAACAAGACAGTGAAAATACATACTTGGAAACGGACGGTGAGAAAATCCAAGCTAAGCAGAAAGACTTAATTGCAAAATCTATGTAAGCAGGAAATATAATGCTGTTATGTATCCAGATATTTTCTTTCAAAAGAAACCCAGATGTTGAAAGTGCAGGTTGGGGCAAGGAAGAACACTTGTCATTCATCAGAGAAATGATTGTTGGAGAATTGCCATTGACTGAATATGAACATACCAGCCTTTGTAGGCATTGACTTCACAATGTTGTAGGCCATGTAAAACGTTATGGCATGTTTACATGCCAAGAGCAAGACACATTTCCTGTTTTTTCAGTTACATTAAAAATCATTACAAGATTTAAGAATACCTTAAAAAATGAGTCAACTCTAGAGAACTTCTAATTATTCACAAAAAAACCCTCATTTGGTTTAGATAAAGGATAAGAAAACAAAAATCTGATTTCTATGAAGTTTTGAATCCAATGTAGGTGACAGCCGATATGCGTTTATTCAAAGGATAAGAGAGGTAAAATCTGGTAGTGAACAGCAGTAAAATCAGAGAGAAGCACTGGCAAGGGTAGAACACTGCACCCCACCCCTGAAAAGAATGGTACAGTCATTGTTATTGTGCTCTTTTCCCAAGTATGGACTTACTTATTTCATGTTACAGCAAGACGACTTAGTTTTAACCAAGTATTTCACTCTTGTGACTCAACATTTAATGCGAGTGCGACTTTGAAACATATTTGCAAAAAATGGGAAAGAAGCCATGAATGGATCCTAGATTCTATCACATACTACACCCCTGTCCCGTCCCGTTCCCCCACCCGCCTCGCTCCCCCCGCAAAATACATGTATCTTTTGGGGGGTGGGGGGGGCGGGGGAAGGCAAAATGGAGAGAAAAAGATTTTTCCAGAGCAGGGACAGAGCCTAAACTTCAACTCATTCACCCTCCCTTTCCTGCACTGGCAAAAGCTATAGCTTCAACCCTTTCACAGCTGTGAAACTAGCTTCTGAAGACAATTCCATGGACAGGATTTTGAAGAGAGCTAAAAACAGTCTGCAAAGCTGTGAAATAGGAGGAGAGAGACCAGGAGTAGCTAACACAGAAAAAATGCTGAAGAAAGGGTAGTTTGATTAGTGGAACTTCAAAACTATTAAACAGGAGGGGGGCCATTAACAGCTGTGGATTGAAGAGAGATTAGGAAGAATCAGGTACATTGTAATGAACAATGAAGTTAACTGACTTCCTCAGTGTCACCTGACTAGAAATGCTAACTGCTGCTGCTAGGCAGCTGGTTTTAAAACATTAAGTTTTAAATTAAGTGGAACAGAAATCCAGGTGGTGTGTGACCACACTAATGCTGGACCTGCATCTGCTGGACTCCAGCCTTCCCTGGCCTTCTACTGGAGAGACGAGAAGGTAAATAAACAGCAGCCATCTTACAGCATCTCCAGGCTTCTGATCTGGGCAGAAAAATCAGCTTCCCCACTTCAGACTCGCACCCCAATTTTGGAATGCTAATATTTGGAAAAAGGGTTTGTGTGGTATGTGATTAAATACAGTGTAAAGGCCAACATCCCCAATATTTCACTATTGCTTTCTCAAAATTACAGTTTAAGATAAAGGTATCCTGCATCGTAGTAGTTAGGAGTCAAAGAAACCTCAAAGGATATAAAGGTATATAGTTTTCAGGCAAGGATTCCCAATTTCTAACAGATAATAAAACTGTCTTCTGTGGAAGAAGAGAAGTCACAAGCAATTTTTATAATAGTTTAGCCATGCTGTGCTTTAGTTTACATCTTATCCTTTCAAGCTTTATAAAGTGAATTCCCCATTAAATTGCTTAGAGGATCATATTTTATCTTTTATTAGGAAGTAATAGCTTTTTGGGGAGGTGGGGGAGAGGTGTGTTCAGTAGGGAGGAAATTGCTTTAACGGCCACAATTCTATTATCCCCAAATAGGAGACATGATATCCATTTCCTGAGAGCCTAGACCAAAGCAAGCCACCTGCTAAGGACGCAAATAATAAGCAGCAGGAAAGAAGAGAGAGTTGCAGATGTCACATTTAGGATTGTTGTTTGTTACCTTCTTGGCGATCCATCATCATGCGGCTGAATAATCACCACCTTTACTGTCACCGATGTGCGTAAAAGGTCAATCATCTGTTCGTGAGTCAAGGTTGCCACCGCCACTTTGCAGATCTCAACTAGACGGCTCCCTTGCCTTAAGCCAGCTTTCCATGCAAAACCAAATGGCTCCACATCTGCTACTATCCCTTCGAAGTTAACATGGAATCCAAGCTGGCCCAACCCATTCCTCCGCAGGGTCATTTCCGTTGTTTCACATCCTCTGGTCACTATCTAAAGGAGCATCAGATTGTTATGCTATTGTCTCTGTAGACTCATTTACTTGGAAACACAAAAGAATCAGTTTTCAGGTAATATAAAGCTTTGTAATGGTATGACAATAGCATAGTCATTTACGTTGGACTAGAGGCTTGTGTGTACAGCACAATACATGAAGCTCTTTAGAGCCTTAAAATTTGACTTCCCTGGAGAAACCAGATGTCCTGTGTCAAATTTCTATCTTTTCTTCAACATGAGGATGTTTATATTTCATTCAATACTTAGCAGTTGCCCTAGCTTCAAAACACAAGGCAAGCAAAATATAAACCTGCCATTTACTTTGTCCATTGTTGGCTGACTGACTGCAGGTGTGTGGATGTTTTTTTCCCCCCCAAGACAATATTAACCTTGAGATTTAAGATGAGACAAACCAAAAGAAACATTTCAATTCTAGAAGGTTGTCTCCCTTTCTGTCTTAGCCAAGATCATATGCGTTTCTCTGGGTATACAATCAGATTCTGAACCAGACAGACACACAACATCTTCAGATATAGGTATAATTACAAATAGGTTAAGACTGTTTGGGCGCATCCCCATGAGCATGCACGTGTGATTTGTGGCGTTGCAAACCAATCTGTGGCATTGCAAACTGCATGCACCACATGTGTAGGCATTTGCTGTGCTGCTAATTTGAAGCATGACAGGTTTTTTTGAGAGTCAGAAAAAAAACAGGACAATGCACATGGTGGCAGCATGTGCCACCCAAAACCAAAGCCTGCCCAGCCAGAGCCACTGAACAGGCTCCACTTACCCAGATGGCTACTGCTGGAGCCCCAACCCTACCTGGGGCAACTTGCCACACCCCAGAGTGTGCATGCTAGTTGCCCCCACGGAATACATGTCCCTACTCACGGGGATGTGCCCTTTATGTCACTAGGAATTTTAGTAATGGGGAATTAAGATCCTTCACACTTAACTGGAAGGTAGTCTGGCATTATATGGAATAATCAAATACTTCCAATTTTAGCTTTTTCTAATGAGATATAGATGTATATCTATATATATGTTTTTACTTCCCTCTTACTATATAAAAGTCCTCAACTGTTTTGCAAATGCTAAAGAAAATCTAGAGGCAGTACAGGAATTTGTGCAATGCTACTGCACTAACCTTTTACTTTGGAGACCAAAGTAGAAATGCAAGTTTAACTTACGATGCAAGTTAAAATGAGTTTGCTGGCCAATTCTTTGTTCTTTTGCCCACATCAAAAAATTGTTTTGCTTAAAAGACGACCATAATTGGACCACTGTGAAATATTACGTTTCAGGTTTGTCTATACCAAATCCTAGAGCTGTCCACCCAAGAATCAGGAAAAGAAGGTAATAATCTACTTCATAGCCCCTAATTCTAACCATTAAATGGCTGACTGAAAAGGTTTTGCTCTGCACAACTTATGCATGGCCCGTGACAAGCTCAAAGATGCTGCTCATGGGCCCAGTTAAGTGCTTAATAGGCTTATAAAGATGGGAGAAAAAAATTTGATTTTTAATGGTGCAGCTTTTCCATAGTTATTTATTATTTCAAATCATATAATAAAGCTGTACTTAAGACTGAAGCTGTCCTTAATATTCTACAGAGCTAAGTCCATATAAATCTTAGTTCATCTCTCAGCAAGCTTCCTTGCTTGATGCGACAGGAGTAGTGCAAGACACCTTCAGAAGACACACTGGAACAGGTAATCAGAGCAAGAGCAAGCATTGAGAGACCCAAAGGAAAAGAGACAAATTTTATATAGTCATGTTAGGCACTCTTACTACCTGAAAGTAGGGACAGACATTCAGCACTTCTTATCACAAAATAAAATTTGTAAGCAGATTTCTCAGGTCACCTAACATATGCAGTAAATATCACAAGAATATTAGCTAGCTTTAATTTACCCTGTTACAATAAAAACCTGGTTAAATTTCCCACACAGATGCTAAAATTATAAATTTTTAAGCCACGAGTCACTAATTAATGGAACTTCTCTCAGAAAATGAGTTAGGTAGAAACTCATAACGACTATCAGAATTCATTTCACTGTCAACATTTTGCTGAAAAACTTACATTTACGTAACTTAAGCCCATAAATGCTTTTTGCATCTATAATAACGGGAGGGGAGATGACGGGAACAAGATGTTAAATCAAAAGAAATTATATGAAGAATGATATTGAATGGGAAATTATCCATAAAAATATTTAAATGGTATAGATGGTTTAAATACTCAAACCTAAGTTTTCAAAAGTGGCTAGCAAGATATCTTACAAAAAATCATTTTTCAGAGGGACCCAGCTCAGCTATTTCAAACTGCTTTAAAAGATGTTTTAAGTTGGGGTTCCAGGAACGACTAATCAGTTTTGAAAATTGAGGCGATAGGGTACCGAACATTAGCCTGGCAGTTTGTGCTTTGATGCCCTTTTTAAGAACCCATTACTATCAAGACTCCTCCATTTCATCTTTTATTATTTAGATTTTGATTATCTGTAACTTTAGAAAACTTGTTATACCAATATTCTAGTAATATGCATACTGTACAAACGTGAGAACAGAGACCATCACGTTTTTCCAGCACTGTGAAGTTTTAGTTTACGTGGTGATTTTCATGGAACGTGCTTTCCATGCATTAATATGTAAAGCCCATGATTGCTACTTGACACAACATGAGGGGCTTTTGATTTAATAGGACAGTATCTATTGCTCCTGTAATTACTGTTCTTACACGTATTTCAGCAATCCTATGTAGGGAACCTACTGAAAGCACAATTTCATGGATTTTGTTAAATCCAGCATTGGCTGTGAAATCTATGGAAAAAAAAAAATAAAACAAGAAAACTTACTTAAAATAAAATGCTGGCTCCCAGAGAGAGCCAACAGTCCTCAGTGGGGGGAGGGGGGGTGCAGGGAGAGGAGGGCTGCCCACTGGAAGGGCTACTGGCAAGCTGGCTGCTGCCCCTCCCCTCGCTGTTGATGGGCTATGAGGGCTACCTGTCATGTGGTACTGCTCCTTTCCATCAGTCAGCAGCTAGAGGTGGGGGGGTTACATGATGGACAACCCTCATAGCCAATCAGTGGTGAGGGGTGGAGCCACTGGGGCCCCTCGGCCAATGGGAGGCATAGGGGGCCCACTGCACTACACTCACAAAATGTCTGATGGGCTCCACGTTCTGCCTGCAAAAATCAGTGGGCAGCCCCCTCAAATTCTGTAGGTCCTTAATCATATGTTATGAACTGAAAGCTTTGAGCTGGAAGCACAAAGAATTGGAGAAGGCTAATTGTTCTTTATTACAATTTTTATTACAAGATACTGGTGCTCAACCTATGGGCTATGGGCCAGATCTGACCCACAAAGCCATATCATCTAGTGCACAGGACTTCCAACAGGTTTGGAAATTTGGGAGTGAGGGAGGCGTCAGCATTGCCACTCCCATACTTCCAAACTTCTAGACCCCTGGGAAGCACCACATACTAGATAATGTGGCCCTACATGCTAGACTGTGCCTATGTAGGGTCTCTCTAACACACTGCCGGTTAGGCATTCAGTGTCACTGGCACACTGGATTTCACCTGCGGACTAACTCCATGTGCCAACTCCACACAGGATCCAGCCCATGGACCAATTCCACGCCACTCCTCTAGTCTACAGGACCAGAAGGTCAGGCACCACTGCCCTAAGAAAAATATTGAACAGATTCATTTATAATATGCTAATGAGATGAGAAATGTGACCACTGGCACTGTATTAAAGATGACTTTTGCACCTCTGATGCATTTTTGTTATGCTTCATTTTTTAAAGAGTTCATCAGTAGCATCAGAACATCCTAAGCGCACACAGAAATCCAGCCAGACGTCCTTTCTTCAGCATTACGTGAGTGTAGCACTCATGTCACAAACAGTTATATCTATCTATCTATCTATCGATAGATAGATATCTATATCTAGAAATAGATATGACTATTTGTTACATGAGTGCTGCACTCACGTAATGCTGATGTAGATAATCACAGATACCACATCCAGATGTGCAGGGGTGTGCACCTGCAATGGCACAAATAGTAGCAGCACAAATTTGTGCCACTACTTTGCATCACAGCGCATGCCCCTGCACATGCTTTCTGTCCAGATAGATATAGATATCCATCTTATATATACATATATCTATATCTAGATAGATATAGATACATGTATGTATACATGTGTGGTGACTGAGTGGTTAATGCATTTGTCGTTAGAAGATGGCTTTTAAATACCAGTAGTGCTGCAGCTTTCAAGTTAACTTCGAAGGAAAAATATATACACAGTAAAAAAGAGGGAAAAAAAAAAAGAGGAGAGAAGAGAAGGGAGGAGGAGAAAGGGAGCTTTTATAATAAATGTAGGGTTCGAAGGTTTGGGGTAAGAGAAAGAAAGGGTAGGACATGGTTCAATGGAACAAAAATATGAAGTAATTAGGGGTTATAAAAATTACGTTAGTGATAACAGTTCCTTAATTGTTATTGCCCTTAAATTGGAGGCTTAAGGCCAAGAGGCTATTTAGCCCAGAATATGGTTTTTACCTTAAAGCACTCTCAAGTTAGACACAAATAAGTCTTGTACTATACAGATTAACTGAAATTGAAGGTAATTCAAATCAAATTAGTTTTGTTGTAACATTTAGTCTCAAAATCCAGTTTTTACAAATAGGCCTTAAATTAATGTTCTGAAAATTGAAGTGTTTTTCACATAGTGTATATAACAGAATATCTTCCCTTAGAGGATCAATACATATAGCTTTCGAGCTTCCTTAGTCCTCAATTTTTTCCTCAATGAATTTACATGTATTGGGCAATTCAAAGAATGATAAATAACGCAACAAATTCTGTTACATGATGTGGCAATGACATCAGAAACTAACATTCATCTGTTGACCTTATTTTCTTCAGAGCTGAGCCAATTTATAGATTTTTTTCCCCCCTAAGTCAGTCAATTTAGACCAATGAATCAAAGAGCAAAACATAATATTCTTCTAATTTTCAGAAGAAAAATATTTGTACAACAACAGAAGCATACAAATATTATCCAAGATTTCAATCTGTTTTGGAAGAAAGAATCCATCAGACATGATAGGTGATCATTTGGGACCTGATCCTTTGCAGTGCTAAGCATAAACTCCTGAGTTTGCAGTATCTGCATTACTTGATGTCACATTAACTTAGTGCTAGCCAGTTCATGGGGTCTGCTTCAGATCCATCAGTCTGTATAAAATTAGGTCTAGTGATTTTTTTCCCCCCCATGGACACTTCAATTCAATATAAAAATCTGACACCACTAAACTCATTAAAACAATGGCTAAAAGGTCAAAGTCTAACTGAAATAGGAGTGTGGGTACATCAGTGTTTTATACCCTACAGTCCTTCAAAACCCATTTATAACAGCTAAGGGTCAAAACATTTTGATGATGGGGGCACAGAGGATGTGAATAACTCCACCTATTGGTTCTGATATCTTGTTTTAATTGATTTAACTGCCTTCATTTTCCTCCAGTCAGTTAGGTAGATTGACAGCTCTCCAATACAGTTCAGGGTTCTATGCAAGTTATTATCCAAGGCAAAATTATTAATGTAAAGGGATTTTTAATGTACAGGGATAATTAAAGTAAGTGTACATATAAAAGGGATTTCCCAATGTAGGAACCGTTTCAAAATTGCATTTTTATTTTATTAAAGCAAAACATAGTACTGTTTTGAGGGGTGGGCTCTGACCACAGGACCACAGGGCTGGGAGCTAAGAATACAAGTTTTAATACTAGGTTTGACACCAAAACCCTCTGCAGTCTTGTACAATTCAGTTAAATTCTCTGCATCAGATTCTTCACCCATAAAAATGGGCTGATTATAGCTATTTATTCCGCATGGTGTTGTGAGGTTTAATGTTTGTGAAGCTCTTTGAAGAAGGGAAACACTATAAACATATAAAAATGGGGGGGGGGGTGTTTTGGTTCTCTCTCAAAGGATAGTAGACAAATAATTTTGCAGAAAAACTCTGTCACATCTTCTTGGAAAATATACTTACTTCTAGCCTTTGAACAACTTCTCTGATGTCCTCAGTACAATTATCCACTGCAGAAAGAAGAATACATTCTCCTCTTTCATAAAAGATTTTGATACTCATTAATCCAGATGTCCATCCAATCACATCTCTGCAGGAGCAGTTAAACACAACATTTTTTGACTCCTTTTCAATCAACATAATAAATTCATTCGAGATTCCAAGGAGACATTCTATGTCTGCAGACTGGCCAAAGTCTCGAGCAATCACATTCCACATAATTGCACCAACACTAAATAAATGTGCATCCTTTCTTGGTTTCACTTTTTCTTTCTTCTTTGCCCCGAGGGTAATAAAACTGAACTTTGCTGAAGTATCCACTGTAGCTGTCGTAACAAAATTTTCAGCCAGATCTTTTAGGTATTCTTGACGTGTCCTGGTGGCCATAGCTCGGAATTTTTCAGATTTGTGGGCTGCATTTTCAGCATTAATAACTTTGGCTAAAAGAAAGTCCCTAAAGACTGCCGATTTGGGGAAAGTTACTCCTTTGGGGATGGGCGGACCAAATGCTGGCACGTCTTTTGATCTTGAAACTCCAACACTGTAAATGAGAAAGATGCCATGTTCTAGGTTAGTTGCAAAGTCATGTACTCTTAGATTTCTGGTTTGAGGATGTCATCCTCACCTCCTGGACTAGTTGTGGAAGCAAATAATAATCAATCATTATATATATCAAATCTGCTATTGCAAGAGCAATGCAGATTACTTTTTTATATCTTCAAGTCTCTCATAGCTTTAACAATAAAAAGTAAAAATAATTAGAGAGCGTCCTAAATATATTATATTTGACTACAGTTATTTGTTGAAACAAACTTTTCATGGGGATGCTCCATTTTCATAAAACTTCCATCAACATTTTGCACCTCCAGAATAAAAATTTTGGGTAAAAACCAGATAGACACCTTCCCCAGAACAGGCAATAGCCTGGTAGTCAGAACACTCACCTGAAACATACTTCAAGTCCCAGTTGCCAATTATATTACACTGCTTTTTCACAGAAAAAATTGAAACATCTCAGGTTTGTCCTAATGATTAGGAGAGGTTTTGAAATTCCTCTTTCATGGGGTAAGAAAATAGTTTCCAACTCAGCTTTACTAACTAATAAGTGTAATGTCATAATTTTTCAGAAACGCAGCTTTAAGAATACTCAGAATGTAAAACCTAGGATATTTGGACAGCAGTAAAGGATCAGCTTTAGAGAAGGGTTCGGTTACTAAGCCATGATCATTTGTGGCTTGAGTTTAGAGGCTTTTCATCCATTTCAAGGACATTCCCCGAGGCCCTAAAGCTAATAAATATCCAGTCTTCCAGTTCTTTCAATCCTCAGCCAGGTTTTAAGTATGAATCTGGCATTGAGGGAGAGGCCACTGGTGACAGGTACATGTGTATGATAGGAGCATTTGATTAAGATTTTTGGGGCTGTCTAGCCTAAACGATGAAATTGTAAGATAACTTCAGTTTTCATTCTAGAGCACTAAAAACAAAATTTAGGGAGCGATATTCCAAGGCAAACAAAAACATCTTTAATACATGATCATAAACACAACTGACATTTTTATAAGCTGTTTTAACTGAAAGGGCTTAAATATACTCTACAAACTAAGCAGAGAGCCTACTTATACCGTGACTGAAACGGTCGCATACAAGATCACACATTATAAGCATTAGCAAACACCCATGAAAGAAAAAAAATATTGCTTATTAAATATGATCTGGATTAATTAGTTCAGACAAACAACTTGGTTTTATGACCCATCAAAAGAGAGCACCCTAAGTGATATGGTGTGCCCCAACAATTTGCTAAATCATTAACTTAATACCAAGTACTTAAAAAAAGGAACAGGTCTACCTACTAAATCAACAATTCTTTCCTGAAACACTGAGGTGCTTCTTGAAGTACTCCTAGGTAAATCATCAACTGGCTTCATCCTGCTTAGTTTCCTAGAACTTGCGGCACAAATTAATGTGGCAGCAAGAGTTGGCACATTGTCAAATTCGGAACCTAATGCCAATGCCTCTTCAGAGGAGAGACTTTTATCAGTCTTGTTTCTTGTATGATGCTAAGTATAGATATTAAGCATCTTATAAAATGACTTGACTAAAGGACACTGCTTTCCTAAAAAAAAGGAAGTTAAAAAAGAAAAAATAATAATCTCCATTGTTATGCTTTTAACTCTTATTTTGACAACCTGGCCTCCTTTTTCTACACCCATAAATCACCTAAACAGATCTACACATTCTCAGGTATGTCTACAAAATTGTGCCCATTAAAACATATATGACAACTGTAATTAATTCACAAGCATAATTTATTTAACTGATATTATGATTCCCCAACACCATTGCTACCTCTCCTCTTCCCCTGTAATTACCAAGTCCTAATATCTGCTCGCTACTGGATAGACACGCACCGTTACATCGGTTTGATATTGGATCAGTACCGATATAAAGAAAGTTGGCTGCGTCGGAAATCGCCCTGAAGTGGCCGATAAATATCTGCGTGTGCGTACAACTGCAGTGCAGCACACAGGCAGCAAGAAGCAGAGCCCAGCAGCGCATAGCTGGTAAGTCTGTTGTGGTGGAAGGGGAGGGGGGATGAAAGGGTCATGGGGGGTGCAGATTAACGCCCCCTGTGGAGAGGGAGGGAGTGGACATGGGTAAGTGCTGCCTAGCTGGGGTGAGGCCGGCATGGGATGGAGCCATGGCTCATTGGGTGCGGGGCCAGCTCCCACCACTGCGCGCACCCTGGGAGGACACAGGGGGAGGGGAGGGCATGTGCCCCTGGATCAGGGCAGGTGGGCTGCAGCTGCGGGCTGGAGCCGGGGCTATGCTGCACTCTTCTCAGCAGTGGCTGGGCTCTGGGTGGGCAGCAGCAGCACTGGGAGTAAGGCTACGGAGGGGGCTGCAGCCACTCCAAATTTCATGGTAGCCCCACTACCAGCGCCGCCCCTGCCCGCCCAGTGCAGCCCTGGCTCTTCCTGGCACATGAAGGGAGGTGAGGGTTGAGCTAGGGCAGGGTTACGGGAACCCAGGCCCCACTTAAAAGAGCCCAGCTCAGCCCCAGCTCCAGCCCACAGCTGCAGCCCACCTGCCCCAATCCAGGGGCACATGTCCCCCCTCCCCACCATGCCCTCCCAGGGTGCGCACAGTGTCAGAAACTGCTGCCCCACCCAGATGAGCTGCAACTCCAAACCACACCTGCCCCACCCTGGCTAGGCAGTGCCTGCCCCTGCGCCCTCCCTCCCTCACTGCAGGGGGCATTGATTTTCTTCCCACGTGACCCTTCCCTCCCCCCATTCCCCTTCCACTACAACAGACTTACCAGCTGCATGCAACTGTACTGGAAATCAGATCAGTATCGGCCAATGTACCTTCTTAAGTATTGCCTATCAGTATCGGCCCCCAAATTCTCCATGAGTGCACCCCTACTACTGGATAATTCAGTATGTGAAATCCCATAAAAAAAGCAAACTAACTAAAATTTACTGCAGGTACAGAAGAGGCAGCTAGGTTTTAAAAATTATTTCTAAAATTGAAGCAATGTAGAAAAAATTAATTTAACTTTCTCAAGAATATACAAAATTGCTAGATGTTCCACTGGAGTCAAATGAGCAAGTTTAGAACTTAATAAAATATCTACTCACCTATAGCACACATTCTCAGTGCAAGGATTATGCACTTTGACTATAACAAACACATGTTGAAAGTGAGAACGAATATTTTTTGGAGTAAAAGGAAGTGCTCCAGGCTCTTGGAAGACAATGGTAACAATATCATTTCCTATATGCCTTTTCCTTAGAAGCTACAGATGAGAAACAGGCATTACATGAGTTAGTTATGAAACAATATTTTAGTTCATAGCAGCAAAAACAACTGACAGCTTAATTTTAAAAAAGTGTCATTTCAGAGAGATTCTTTTAATGCTCATGTCTACTGTGGGTGTCTACACTGCAATGCAGTACAGTACAGAAATACTCAGATTAGCTCTTAATGAACTAACTTAAATACCAGAAACAGTAGAGCTGCATTAGCTCTATAAAAGTTCTCTTCTAATCCACCCTAATATTACATACTCCCTTGACATCAAAGCTAAAAAAGTTGGCCTGTATAGTGTTCTGTGCTAACTATAGTATGCTACTTCTAGTACTTGAACTAGCTTATTTAGCTATATTCACTGCACTGTAGTACAGTATAGACATACTCTACCCAAGTTATAGCCATAGGAAACTGGGTAGGAAAGAGGCTGGCTCGGGAGGGGGGGGGGGGGGGGGGGGGGGCGACGACAAAAGCTGGGCTAAACTGATAAATTTACCCTCACTGAAGATACCTACACCCTTATCAGCAAGTGCAAGAGCAGGGAAGGCTGTGGAGCAAGGTGCTGCTGAAGGGGACACAAGGTTTGGCATAACTATGTGATGCACAATCCTCTGTGCTTTCCCAGGAGGGATCCAACCTATTCACAGGCCAGATCCAGCCCACGGACCATAGCTTGCTGACCTTTGCACTAAATTGGCCGCACCCAAACCTTTTTGCCTCATCGACTGGATGACTGGTACCAAGTCTGTCTGCAGACTGAATGCAGTTCATCAGCTTGATCTGGTGCGCTGTAGGGGGCCGGCCTGGCCTAGCCTGTGCTGGGGCCCAATGCAGTTGCATGGGGCTTGGAAATTTGGGAGCACCGTAGAGATAGTGTTAACTGCCAAATGCTGCCAAATTTCCGGACCCATGGGAAGCCCCACAGACCAGTTGACATGGCTCCGCAGGCTGGATCCAGCCTGTGGACTGGGGTTGAGCACTGCTGCTCTAAATCACTTGTCTTGCTTAGTTATGTCAAAACTAATACTTCAGCGATCTAAAAAAAACAAGCAGAGTTATACTATTGTTTACATATCAATAGCAAATAATAATATAACTCCGTTTGCCAAAAATAGCCTAATATTAATAGCAGAGATGCATTTATAGGTTTCATTGTGCCTATCAATACAGCGGTTACTCAGAAGCCAAGGGAAAGGTCCGAATAATGATGTTTGGAAGCACTCAATTAACAAAAATGTATAACCTTTAAAAGCATTCAAAATATCAGTACAGCTATAAAGGAAAAGACTGACCAGTGATAATACCCAGAAAAAGATTTGCCAAATATTAATTTCCAGTCTAATAAGTAATGTAATGTTTCCAATTTATCAGAGTAAACCCATGATAAATGACTGCTTAAGCAACTTAAGATGTACATTCACTGCATATAAATTATATTAGAAATTCATAATCAAGAATTTATTATTATTATATTAGCTATGTCAGGAAAAATGTAATTTGTTTAACTGCTGAACACTGCAGCTATATCCAAATGCTCAAGCCCGAATTCATATTTAGAGGTTATCGCTACCTTACAGGTCCAAAGTTACATGGTAGCTGAATTTGTGTCAGACCTCCCAATTAACAGATACTGTAAGGACACCAACATTTTAATGTGTATATTATTGTTACTGTGTAGCTGGTTCTAGCCTATTATTCCTTTTTGTTAGGGCAGCACTTGGGCCTATTTCTATCCCTCTCCATGGGGGCATTTAAACTGCAAGTTAAAGAAGCAACATACTTGTAAGATTGGATTTAGTATGTTACCAAGGTAACCATCGTCTCTTAAGCATATTCTTGTTCTTTGTAAACATGATAAAATATTTTTGGAGGTGCTAGTTAAACTGAAAATAATTGTAGGGCATTCAGCAAAAATGGGAGTCACTTACTGAGAGAAAAGTCTAAGGAATCTTTTAAACAAAAGCTCTGTATTGGGAATAGTAGTCCTTTACAGGAAAGCTGGTTGACATTAAGTTCTTAAACCTCTAGACATCTCAAAAGACATTAAATATGAATTTAAAAGTCGGTCAACATTCTTAAAACCTTACCAAGCTTGTTGAGATCTGAGTGACTTCTTCGGCATTTTGAAACAAAGTTAAATGTAACGCTACCATTATAAAATGTCTACCATGCATACAGAGTCAGTGAAGTGCAACACAATATGAGTGAAGGCAAGAGAGAGTGATGCCTGTGTACAAGGGGTCAGAATGCAAAGAACCAGAAAGGGGCAGGGGAGAAATAAGTTGTGGGTAAACTGGAACATGGGTGGGGGAAGTGCTCAGAACAGAAGGAGCAGTTATTGAATGGAGAAAAAAAAAGTTGAAAATTTTATCTGGAAAGCATAAATAATGAGAGTAGACTGAAAATGAAAGAGGAATTGATAGAAACTAAACTAAGTTGAAAGGTTTACCCATCCACCTTTGCCCCTTCCACCTACTCTCTCTTTCCAGCTTTCTTCCCCTAGCCACTTTCAAGTTCACTTTCCTCTTCCATTTCCATGTCTGCTCTATTTATTCATTTGCCTTTCTAACATTATTATGGAGATACTCATACCAAATACTAGAGTACACTAGGCATTTCTCAAGAGTGTATTTCAAGTCACAAAAGAGGATACACCAGACAATCTGACATCACTCTAGTATCAAATCTAGCTTGGTATGGTACAATGTAAAAATGAACCAGTAAAATGTAATAAGCAGTCAGTAAGAAATCAGTTGTATACAAGAATTTGAGAAAACAAAAGGGAATCTAGTCCGGAGAACGTTAGACAAGCATAGTTTGTTAAATTAAAAAAGATATTAGTTCCTGTACCAAATAGGAGATCATAAACACAACAGTTAACTCTAGTTTTCAGAAGTAAAAACGTATCTGAAGGAAAAATATTGGCCATCTTAAAATGTAGTGCTCTGATGAGCCATACCAACCAATCCCTGTCTGTGGAATTTCGACTACTGGTTGAAACTAGGAAACAACAAGGGATTCTTGTTGTGATCATTGGCTTAAAAATATCATTCTTCATTCAATTCAGTGATGAAATGTGGAGACAGTACAGATAAGGAAACCTTCAAACTTATTTTAGTACGTATCTAAAATAAGTGACTGAAAAATTCCAATTTGAATTATGTTTCAACACAATGAAAACAAATGCTAAATGATTTTTCAAATCAGACCTGGTTAAACTGAGTCGGATATATCTGTATGCGGATGGTTCCACCAGTGACTAATCTTATGTTCAAATGAAATCACACATTAATCTGAGTTTTAGGTTTTGTTTATTAAGATTGAAATGTAGTGTGTGAAATGATTTGAATTAATCAGATCTGACGATATATACGGAAGCAGACTGCAAATATGAGGAGAGGAAACTTGCAAGGGTATGATCTGGAAAGGGACTTTTGTAAGGGTAAGGTTTAAAGGGAAAGCCTTGAACTACAAGTTGAAGAGAAGGCCAATAAAAGGAGAAGGAACTGGCCACACCAGGGCTGGTAATCCTCTCTGTCCTATGGAAGGAGCAGCTGAATCGAAGGCCCCAGCCTATGTTGCAGCCAAAATGAAAATTACCTTGCTCTTTGGATCTCCTGCTGGCTCTAAAACTAGAGGGATGTCCTGATCAGTGACCAAGCAGGGCGTAGTTAAGTCCTGGAAGAAGCAACAGACAATTCTGGTGTGGCCTATTTCTGGCTCACAGGTATTTGAAATCTAACAAAAGCTCGATGCCTGCTCATTGGAGGTATTTTTCCAAAACGTTGAAGAATGCCTCAACATCTCAACCAGTGAACACAAGAGGCTGAACTCAGAAGGGTGAGGGCACAATCACTTCAGCATCAGTATGTGCCCCATAGGTTGGTGCAACATGTAAATGGTTTGGACTCCTCTGTTGCTGTTAGTACCTAAAAACAGAGGTTGCTATGCTTCCTGTTCTCTCCCTACTTGTGTATGTAGATATAATGAGCCAAGCCCTGCTGAGAAAGAAGTACTTATATGCCACAGGGCTTGTAAGCCTCTCTGTGCTGAAGATGAAATAAATTGTAACAGTGGCCTTGAGACTCCTAGATGTCTCAAGGGAAAGGCTCTTTATTCTAATCAGGTTTCTTACTAACTTATGAGACATACCACTGTAGATACACTGCACATTTCAATACATATTTTGGTATTTACACAGAGAAAGAGCACAAGATAAACATTTATTAATGATCCCTTTTACACATTAAGGCTGGCTAAATTCTGGGTATTTGGGTGCATCTGGCACACCTTATGGAGAAAGTGTCCATGCTGTGCAAGTATTGCTGGATTCCAGCATTTAGAAAAAATAATGTGGTGGGTCTTCAGGAACGCATATTGCTTCAACTTAGAAAACGGCCACATTATTCTGATCCCAAGAAAACCATGGATCACAATGTGATACTGCTGCTAAGTACCAAGACTTTAAGAGGTACAAAGACTGATGGGTGTTTGCTAAAACATTGTGAAAGGGAGTGTTTGTTGCTGGGGAAAAATCATGAAATTAAAACTAGAAGATCTTGGAATTATATCAAGATTGGGCACCTACCTAGAAAGAAAGACACATAAGGGAGTGTCAGGGAAAGGATGAAAGGGAGATGAAGGAAGAAGTAATAGGACAGTGGTAGGGATGGGCTAAGCAATGCAGCAGTGCTGGTGACAAGCAGCAAATAATAATGAAAATTAGTGGATCAAGGTTAAAGGATTTTCTATGCTCACATATGAGGGCAACTGAAGAAAGACACAATGACAATAAAATGACACACTTCAAGTAAGGTTCTGTCTCCTGTCAGTGCCTGTGGTGACCTATGAAAATATTGATTTTTTTAAAACCAAGCTCATCCAGTATATTATATCTTGCTGCAGTGCAACATCTCCTATTCACATATGCCTTTAGCCTCTTCTCAAAGATCAACCTTCAGATATATTCTGCACCTGCACTTTACAAATTATATCAGGTAACAAAGTAGGGTGAGATCTTTGAAACACTGTTTCTCATAGAAATTCATCACCTCACTCTCCAATTTCTTCTTTTTTAAATTTACAAAGGATCTATGGAAAATGCACTGTATGTTTTTAAATCATGAAAACCTGGTTATTTCCACAAGTAAGGCCAGGTTAAACAAAGCAAATTTTAATCTAACAGAGAATGAAGTATGATGAATCTCTAGGCAAAGTGATTACTACACAGCATTTACTAAATCAAAGACTCCAACATCACAGTAAGAAATGTACGAAGGTTCAAAAAGTGAAGGTGTCACCAAACAGTGAGTGTGGGTTGGTATTTGGCTACTGGCACAACTAAAAATTATGTGATTGCTGAGCATGTCATCCAAAAGCACTTCAGATGTCCTACTCCTGCAGAGGCAGATGCAGAATACTAGAGGAAAAAGTTGTAGGTTCAACAACAACCTGATCTATGAATAGCTCTTTTGTTAGTTTTTCTTAAGTGTCTGATGTGCTGTACCAAATGTGCTTTTCTTTTTCAACTCAGTCGCAGAAGAATATTCATGCCTAATGATTTTATGAGTCAGTACAGGCAAAGACAGAAATAACCTTACTCAGGGTACCACACACTTTGGATGCTGTGTTGTTTTTAGCCATCCTTAATGCTTTAAGATAATTCTGAACTGTAATGTAAACACTGAGTATTTTTCAGACATAAAATAAGTTTGTTGCACAAATTTCTGTCTCTACCATCAAATGCCTTAAAAGATAAAGGTGAGGCATTTATTATTAAAACAACAGATGCATAAGAAGTTTGAAAACTGCAATAAAAAATTAAAATTATTCAGAACCATTTCAAAACCTTATTATATACTTTAATCATATGAGGGATCTAAGTCAAGTTTAAAGTTTTAGAAAACTTCTATTCTCCACAGCTATCAATAAAGGATAACAGTTGTTTAATACAATCATATGATGGAAAAGTGGGAGAAGTTCCCAAATTATAAAGACTAATTAAATAAATTCTATAAGCATTCTAATGTGTCAGTAATACCTGTAAAGCCAATTCTTAACATTCACAATTTACAGAGACTATCAATATTGTTTTACAAAGGACTCAAATTAATGCAAAATGAAAAACTTATTCAGCCCTTAAATCTTACACAATATGTTACTATGAAAAAGTGAGAGTTAAGAAAACATACCTGTTGCCTATTATTGGGCATGTATGGAAGCATAGTTGATACATGAAACATTAATTCATAATCTTTATAGGTAGTATAGAGGGAATGAGTTCCTGTTGAATCCGCTGAAAACAGATTTCATTGCAAGAAGATGGTCAGTGAAACAGAACATTTATACTGTTTTTAGGACACCATCCTTTGTATTGTGTGACTAACAAATCAAGATTTTATTTACGAGACGTAGGTTAAAATTTAGTTAGTAATACGATAATGTATGAGAGCCAAAAGAGCTATCCCTTAATCTCAAATTTTTATTTATAAAATAAATAAAATAGGCTCCCGGTCCCTGAAAGAAACTGTCCATATTGAGGTCCTTGCAAGATTGGGTCCTGGAGTTACCTCATTTTGAAGAGGTGCTGCAGGTTCTTAGCACCTTGTAAAAATGAAATAAAATAAAAATCCGACTTTTTTTTTTTTTTTTTTGCTACCAAACTATAGAAAATTAGCTGGCTAGCTTTCGGGCTTGAACAAAGGCTTATATTTTTTTAAGCTTTGCCAAATATTTTGTTTTTCAAAACACACAAACAAATCAAAATAGTTAATCATCACACAAATACTTCACAATTTTCTGATTATGGTATAGAATCTCTCCAATCTACTCATCGTTAAAGCATACGTTAATCCATACTAAATATCAACAAGCGTTTCCCCACCTCTCGTTTAACAGATGGTGCAACAGAGGCTGTTTAAAAAAACCCATAAAAAGACATTACACTACATTTTTAATACATTACAAAAACAAACATCAAAACTAATCAGACTTGTCAAAATACAAAATATCAAACTGCACTATGGTATGTATAATAGCAGCTTTATAATTGTGTTAATTTTTAATGTGCAAGATTTAGTTATAGACATAAAAAATAGAATAATTGCTGCAAGTAAGTGAGGCTCTTCTGTGATAGCAAATTAACCAGTTTTATTTGTCTACTGTGGCACTGCCTTGGAGTGAACCTTGGGAATATGATTAACAAAAAAATGTTGGTACCTTCATGGAAGTCTAGATGATAGGACTAAGAAAGACCTGTTAGGACAGTTTGCATGAATCAGGAGTTTCCTCTACTCTTGTCTAACAGGTGAAATGGAACAGCTGGAACCACAGTAAATCTTGGTGGCTCCACGCTGAGAGGCATGCTTCTCCAGGCTGTGCTCTCTCTGGGGCTAACCCCCAGCTGCTCTGCTCCCCGAGGAGGGATAGCATCCTGGCTCCTGGCCATGCCTCTACTTGCCAGGCCCACTAGCGGCGAGTCCCAGTTGTGCAGGCCAGAGACAGTATTAAGCCTTAACCTGCGGCTGCACTGAAACTGCTCTAACTTCAACACTGCCTAACATTCCACCGGTTTGGCATGGTTTAAAGGCAACTTGCAACAGCATCCTAAAAAGCATCCCAGATTTCAAACAATTGTTCTGTTATAAATAATGTCCCTACCAGTTTGAATTCATGCCTCTTCAGGAAAGTAACCTAAACCTAGGTATGTGCTTAACTTGAAACAGGAGCCCAAGTGCTTTCTTGTATGAAGTTGCTTTATTAAATCCTTCCTTTCTTCACACTCCCTCATTAATGTGTGAGTACTTATATTCTCTCCCCTCCAACATACCTAAAGCATAGGTTGGAGAAGGACCAGAGCATGTAATACCTGCATCTTTATAATAACATTCTCAACTGCTTTGGGGCCTGATTCAGCACACTTAAATATTTTCATTAAAATGCGGTCATTAATGGCTCACAGCCTGTAGGAGACATTTTGGCCATAACTGAAAATAGTCATGTTGTCTCCTGAAAACGTAAAATGAAGGTTTCAGGTTCAAAAAAAAGTTTTATCTTATTTCATTTAAAATTTTATACTCGATACAATCACTTATTATTTGGAAGAAACTGCTGTATCTAGGGCCTCAGTTTTGAACACACAGTCATACATGTTTAAATTTAAGCACTTTTCTGTTACCACTAGCTTCAGAGGTATGTATGTACGTACTTAAAACTGAAATGGACTACTAGCATTTTCAGCATTCAGAATACAATTCCCAATGAAATTTCTTATATGAATAGTTTGAATACAAAATTGTGTGTGTGTGTGTGTGTGTGTGTGTGTGTGTACACATGTGTGCACACTTACAAAAACAACACAAAAAACTTTCCTCGATTTCAGAATCTTCCTTGAAAAATGTAATCTGGTTAAAACCTTGGGATACTATTTACAACCTCAGAAGTAAAATGGAGGAAATAAGTGTTGTGAAAAAGGAATAATTCACCATGTGTGCAATTTAAATATATGTATAAACTAGATCACTGTTGGTAACTCTATTTACAAAGTGCTTTGCAAGCAGTCGAACAGACGTCGTACGATGAAACAAAAATAAAAAGTCATTCTCCTTTTAATTATTGTTACTGAAAAGCAGTCTCTTACCTTTAACTGCTGTTCTCTTAAGGTAGCATCCTATGTAGTTTAATGCTTTTGATTTAGTACCTTGACCTTGGAAGTGAACTAGTAAATCTACATTGTAAAATTTAGGTCCCCTTAGATGAGCAAAGTTGAAATCCTCTGACTTTGCAGTTATTCCAACAAGCAGCTGGTAGCACCAATTGTGATCAAGATGTTTGTTTTTATGAATATTTTTTTGCTTATACATTTTTCTAAAACATTCTCCTTTCAACTGACATTTGTGCTTCATTTCTACCTGGAAATGAATTTTGTTTCAGAAAGCTTGAGGAAAAACTCTTCAGCCATTTTTTGGAGTTATGGAGTGTAAGACAAACCCACTAACTCCCCAAACTTAGAAACGTGCCTTCAACCAATCATTGGCAGCAGCAAGTGAGACCACAGTAAGTCACATATTCTTGCTACAGAAATTTCTTCACCTTTATATCCTTCTTAGGAAATACAAAGAAATAAAAACCAGTTTCCTCCCAACCCCATCCCATTATATCAAAATTTAGATGATACAGTTAAACATTGAGAAGTCAAGAAATGAAAAGGCTAAATTCTGATAACATTAACTCCTCTCTGCTACATATTTACTAAATTTATCGGAATCAAGGTGACCCCCAATAATTAGACTAAATTTGGTAATTGTCCACATACAGAATTTAATTATTGGAGGGTTGTCAAATTTGTTGTCTCCCTACACCACTACAGAGGGGAAAGCAGTGGCAGGGGGCAGGTGGTGGGAAGGCACAGTGAGGAAACCAGTAGGGGGCAGGAAGTGGTAAGCCAGGCGATAAGAGTCTGACCCCTGTCCTTTACCTTTCCACCCCACCATTCCTGTACCCACTAGCACTTGCCCTCCCCACCTCCCTGGTGCCTGCCCCACTGCATGGTCCCCGCTACTGCCTGCCTCCCCTGCCACTTACTCTCCAGATCTGGCATGACAACAACCCCACTCTAGCTTGGTTGCTTCTTTCCCAGCCCAGTATCTGCAGTGGTGGTGGCAGCAGCAGCTCTGGCCTGGGCTCTGGAGCCCAGTTAGAGTCAGTGCCAACACAACAAGTGTTACCGGGCTGGCCTGGGGCAGCTGGGGTGGAGCACAGCTGGAGCCATGCCAGGGCTGGAAGGAAAGGGGGGGGGGGGGCAGATGGGGCAATGGCATTGGGGAGGTGGGCACCAGCTGTAACTCCAGCCCCAACCCTGGTTCAGGGTTAAGGCCAGAGCTGCAGTCACCTGCCCCCCTGCCACCTTGTATTCAAATCCAAGAGGAGGAGATTTCCCCCCTCCCCCAGAAGTTAAATGAGAAAACCTCATCTTGGATTCCAGTAAATATGGTATTGTCATGTTTTAATGGCTGACTGGGTTTAATACGTGGCATGCATGAATTATTTTTAAAATCATTTTAAAATAATTTTATAAAACATGCACAGTATGTGATATGACACAACTAGCAATACAGTCTAATTCTTTCAATTTCTTCATTTTCAACTTTGGAATTGGGTGACTTTACCTCAGCATTATGAGTTTTTTGCATTTAACATATACAGCAGATCAATATGGAATAACCCCAGACATATCTAGTCACTGATGGCAGTATACAGGCTAACTGAAAAATAAATGCATCTCAAGTGCAAAGCCCATTGATTCATAAACTTTAGGAATTGATAGAAATAAATTATTGAAACTCCATTTAATTAAGTAATTCAGTGTGAAATGCTTTAAGGTGGAGAGTATTAAAACAAAAAAAGCCACCCACACATTATGGCATTATGATGCCTGGAACAGAAGGACTGAAAAAATAGCTAATAAAGAAAAAATATGAGTAGTCTGTCAGATAAGGCAAGACTAGTTCTTTCTCCAATTGTAGAACATAGCACTCCTATAATTTTCACTCTGCTTTCTCACGCACACAAAAAGAACATTGTTATGCAAATAAATAAAGTGTCAATTGAGCCAGTGCTGTATACGCTCATCATGAAACCAAGACTACTTGTCACCCATTTTTATTCCACTCCCTTTGTAGCAGCAATGTAACGCATTACAGCAACCTTTTGTGCCATCATACTCACAACATAATTCATAGAATACCAAAAGTATACTGCTCAGCTATATGGGGGAAAAACAAATCAGCAATGCATGTTTATAGCCAATCATGACAAGTGTGTGCTGAGCATGCTGCAGGCACTAAATTTGTTCACATCAAATCAGAATATATTTTCATATGCGGAACCTGACAAACGATTTTCAGTCGCTCTTTAATTGCATCAGAGGACTATGCCAGAAGGTCACTGGTAATATATCTTTTTTGTTAATGCATGGCCAGAGCCCAGAAGTCTTGAGTCAAACCTAGTGTACTGATAAACAGTATGTATCAATAATATTTCTAGACATCAGTTTCTCTCTTTAAATTAGCAATGTGAAACACTTAAATGGAATATACTAACTACATAATTATCAAGATTTGCCCTACAAGCTACAGCTTTTTTTTTTTTATTATTATTTAACATATTTTAAGTGGGTTCTGTATAGGAACTGCAGGATTCCTACCATACAACCTTTAAAACTCAGGGTAGACTCAGCCTGTCTACAGGATTCAGTTTGAGCTTTTACACCCTCACTTTCTGTTCCCATGATAAGAATAGGATAAGGACAAAGGGGACTTTGATCTGCCCAGACTTTGGAACCTACCCTTCTTTCCACAGATGCAAGGTCCACTACAGAAATCCCAGATCTGAGATTCTAATTCTGGGAGCTGGCCTTTTGGCTTGTCTGCACTGGACTCGAGTCACAGGCTGCAAAAACTAAACATTTCTACAGATTACTAATATCAGCTTCCAAGACAATGTGGGCTCAAGAAGAAAAAAATCCTTTGCAACTCCAAAAAGGCAGCTAGTCACAGGCTCAAAGCATCGTAAAACACACTGTTCATATTGTACGGTTGGAAATGTAGCAAATATAAGCAAAGAATTCATGGTTTGTAGATCACAACAAAATGAATAAGCCTGTGCAGTAGAGATAACTAGACTGCATTCCACCCGATCATAGTGACCTGCTGTCAAAACTTTTAAAACAATATTAAACTAAAAAAGATGAATTTTGTTGACAATGCATCAACCTGGCTAACTCAAAATAAAACATCCATGGTTATAAGCTCAGAGCTTGTCAGGAGCAACTCACTAAATATGTGAGCTTACAAGTGAATGGCCATGTCAGTTGTAAGCCAAATAAGTTATATTATCCATACTTCAGATGCTTCAAAAGCAATATGAGAATCTAAATTTAAAAAACCCAAAACCCTAATATACAGGATGAACCTCTTGTCCTTTTGCATTGTTGGACTATATTGCTTAGGATTTAAGGACCAGAAACAAATCCTCAGCTCCAGGAACACCATGAAAGTAGGGTATCCTTCTGAGTACTTCACAAACAACATGTTGCTTGTGTTGCCGGCAACATCTTGGTTGCTTGCAGACGTTAAAACAATCAAATGAAGCCAAACACCGCCCCCCCCCCATGCTTTACCAGAAGAAGCAGTGCATTACTTCAACCCAGCACTGTAGCATCTGTATACATCAAGTGCTTCAGCAGGGCTTTTTGGTGCTTTTAGCTAAAGCCGATTCAATCAGCTATTAGATAAAAGCACCAAAAAAGCCAAAACTAAAGTGCCCTATCTATACAGACGTTGGACGAGCCGGGTCCAACTACAGCACCACCTCTTCTGGGTGTGTGCTGGGCTTGGTGTGGGAACGTGCAAAGTTTAAAGTGCCAGTTTCGGGGGTTTTTGGTTGGGGGTTGTTTTTAATGTCCACAAGCAGCCCATGTTCTTTGCTTATGTATAAACATTGACTTCTGCTGGCCAAGTGTATCCACAATGTTCCAGATAATATCAGAACGACAGTTTGTTCATCACTTCAAAAACTGTATAACCTTTTACTTTATATTTTCAGACTAAGAACTAAGATGATAAAATGTGTATTGGTAAAAAAAAAGTTGTTTCCTTTAAAGAGGAAAATATAAAAAGGGTGCAAACTTAGTAAAACATGACACTACAAGGCAGGAGAAGAATGAAGCACTCAGGAGCTTCTCTTAAGATGCTCTCTTTGACATATACAGTATGACATCTTTCAGGCTCTTGAGGAATGTATTTCAACTTCCTTATCTATGAGAATCTAAAGTATAATATTAGCTTACTAGTCAACTCCCACGGTCAGCTACATGAGAACAGAACTAGTATTTACAGAAGATGCTTACCTTTGGAGAATTACAGATTCTCCCATACTTGAAAAAACAAAACTTACTTTTATTGTCTAGCTGAGCTCTGTATTTACTAAACCCTTTTAGCCGTACTCTCTGGCCCAGAAGATCAAGGAACTCTTCAAAAGCAGGCCCTGCAGTTTCATTATTATACATCTCTTCCTCTGTGCTCTGGCCTGCTTTGCAATAAAGGATCCCAATCTTGTGCTGAAAACTCAGCTGAGGTAAAAAAAAAAAAAAAACAAACCACACACATAAAATTAGTATTGGAAATAGATGGCAAATAGTAAGTGTTAAACACATTTATTATAATAGCAGATGAAAACTATTACATGTGTCAAAAAATAAGGGAAAGTTGAAATGCCAAAGATAAAGAAAACAATAATGTAATTATAAGTGGACAGTCGATATTCAAACACAGATAAAAGAAATCAATTAATAACAACTTTTGACTTGGCCAATCAGGTATCAATACAAAAAGAGAATTTCTAATCTCTAATTAGTCTTTTGTCATAGGCTGGGAAGATACTGCATAGTCAATGTTTATCTTTTCCAGCATTTAAGACTTTACAAGTTGACCGTGTGTGCTTGTGTCAAGTACTTTCCCTCCACCCTTCTCATTATATGAGAATAGCCATTCAGAAGACAGGTTTCAAATGAGGAGATATAAATATGTTTTCATCAGATTTTTTTTTTTCAACATCCATAGATAAATATCATTCATCCATAAAACCATCTTTTGCAAAAGTAGTTTCTCAGTTTTCTGTGAATGATAACATGTAAAGGTGTTTTATATGTACAATGTATTATGAACTAGAAATCAGAGAGCAATTGAATAATTTTGCCAAATAGATAGCAATAGATTTGTTAAAGTATCACCACCAAGATGTTATTAGAAGTGATGGTAATTATTCTCGCCAGAACAGTATTGACTTATTTTCTGTGCCTTAAAAACTTAAGATGACAATATACAGGGACCCCTCCCCCACGTGAGTGGATTAGTCCTATTAGCCTTTCTACCAGCTATTAGAGCTTCACAAACTGACAGAAAACATTTGTCACACCAGATTCCCTTAAGACATTTATCCATAAACCACTACTCATATCTACACACCAGCTGTAAAGTATTCCTTTAATCAAAATTCAGGACATGTGTGTGTGCATGTGTGTATGTAAGAATAATTACATGTCTGTCCCAATTCAAAAAAACACAAAGGCAACAAAAAAAATCTACTTCACATTACACATATATTATACATGAACTGCTGTGTTAAACATACTGTAGATCATGTTAACTCATAGGTGTGATATTGTACTGATGTTTTATCATGACAATATTTGAGGAAAAGGTTGAATGGTGAAAAAGGGCAAATCATGAAAATGTGTCACGGAGAGTTAAGTGTCAAGAGCATGGCTTTAAGCCTGAAATAATCTTTACCTTCTCATTTAGGTAGTACCTGCTCCTGAACCATGAAAGTGGACAGTTGCATGAATGGCAGTTTCAAAAAGTTTGTGTTTTTTTTAATTAAAAAAGGGGGACCCTTCCCCCCCCAAAACACCCCTGGTGGAATAAAAGCTCTCTGTCAGTTTACTGGACTGGCCCTTTGTACCATCATGATGCTCCTGCCTTACTAACCTCCTGTTCTGTCTCCCATGCAGCTCAGGGTTTAACTTGGCAGCACTCAAGGTTCTCAGTGAAATTGGCTTAACAGTTTACCATCACAGGCACCCATCACTTTAAATATCTTCAAATGTCAAAAGTCACAGATATTTTTTTTAAACTGATGGAAAGAATCACAGAACCCAGTCATTACAAAATGCAGTCAAAGGGGATTTTTGGTCCTACTGAAATCAAGAGTCAAAATTCCAGTGGTCTTAATGGGGCCAGGATGTCATGCTTAGTTATGAAACTATACCGCTTCACTGGGACAATTTCTGCTCAATTTCACTGGTGTAAGTCTGACCTAAATCCATAACGTCAGTGAAGTTAGGTCAGACTCGCAGTGATCTAACAAAGCAGAATTCGGTCTACTGGCGTGCACAAAAAAAAAGTACATGCAGCAGGATGTGAATTGCTCATGACAAGGAAAAAGACAATATCTAAATGCAAAGCAAGTGCTATTCTTGTAGTAAGGGGCAAAATGGAATTGGAAGAAGAAAACTGGAACAGTAGGAAAAGGATGACAGAATAATAGCAGGAGGAATGAGAAGGGTTAAAGGTCACATTAAATGGGAGCTGGCACTTGAGAGCATTTGTTATATAAAATATAGTTTTTTGTTGAGAACTAGTAGAGGACTGAGGGATGTATTTGGTATCCGTATTGGTCTGAGACAAAAAGAAATACAAAACTCTAGAGCTCTAGGTTCAGAGATGATACCTTTTATTAGGCCAACTAAGAAATCACACAAAAAAAAAGTATCTTTTTTCTGCAAGCTTTCAGGTACGCACTCTTCCTCAGGCTCAGGGAAAATTAAAGATAGTAAAGAGTCCCCATAGTTAGAAAATAAACTTCATTTTTGCACAAAGGCAGCTGAAGGTGGAAGTCTGTTCCTCTGGGTCCATGAGAAGACTTAGGTACTTAAAAAGGCACGCCTCAAAAGAGAATTCAGCACTAGGACCCTAAGCAGAAGGAGGAACTCTCCATGCAGCTCTGGATCAGATGCATAGATACCAGGCAGGCCCCAAATTTTATTTTCTTCCCTGTGTATAGCACTTCCTATTGACTAGCTCTAGGAATCTCCATGCTCAACTCACTTGATTATGCAAGTACTAAACGAATGCACAGTAACAACTGCACAGTTTGCTGCTTGTGGAGACGCAGCCAACGTATGCTAGGTTTGCTCTGGATTAGGCTCCTCAAAGAATGTAGGAAAAGAGATGCCTAGTTTCTGAAGCCTGATGAGGCTCGCGTGCAAGCCTGATACCAACCTGCTCAGGTTGCGGCTGCTCTGGGTTGGTCTCTAAAGAATGTTAGTCAACTCCAATGATGACTCCAAACTCAATAGGTACCTTAAGGGGTGAAGCGGAAGCTGAACAGGGTTTGGGGATTACAAATTTGGATTTGGGCAACAAAACCTAGCTCATCTATATCCACGTGTTTAGGTGTTTATATAAATACCTTAACACCTAAACAGCTTCATGTAAAGTAACTCAAGTTTCTTCTTTGGGATTGAGATCATCCTTATAATTGTAAAAAAACTCCTAATACCATTATGCAGTACTGATATTTGTTCTTTACATTATCCATAAAGAGCATACAGATATGTAACAAACAAAAAGTTGAAAAACTGCAAAAAATCTTTGGGGACTCATCTTACGTTTCCATGGGCAGTTTAGCTGCGTACGGTTATAGGATGAGGTCTTTGGTATATTGTTCCATGATTACTGTCCTTTTCAAATCCAAAATGTTCCTCTGAACGTCTTTAAGAGTTAACTGCACTTATATTTAAGAGTATAAACTAGATGGCCTTGTGTTCACACTTTGTCTAAAATTTTGTAGAATGAACAATCTTGAGTCAGGAAGAAGAGCTAGCTGTTAGTCATATGCTCAAACTACCAAATAAGTAATACCAACTGGGCAAAAGATGACTCAAGCTTTTATTGAGATTGCTTTGAAGAGAACTTCAATACCTCTATCCTATATTGTTAAACTTTTTGGCTGTGAATTTGCAAAAAGCTTAAGGAAGTTAGGTTCATAATCCACTGAGTTTCAATGCCATTTGAGCATCTAATTCCTTTGTGCTTCTTTGTAAACTCTGAAGTGGAAGGTAAAAACTAGGGCTGTGGGGATACAGCTGTCTTATTTCAATTTCAGATTCGGCCATTTTGGAGGACTGTGATTTGTTTTGGTGTTTTCGATCACTGCTCTGTTTTGATTCGGCCAAATCTGTTGTGGAGTTTCAAAGCTGTTTCGGAGATTCAGATCAGTTGGGGAGAGGCAGCCACGGGAGAAGCCCCCACGGCTGCCATCCCAGCCCCAGCCCCCACCTAGCCCCAGCCTAGTTCCAGAACTTAAAAAAAAAAAAAAAGCCCCGCACTCACCAGCTGCAGTAGTGATTGGGGTCTCTGAGCACTCATGACAGAGCACCCCCATGCAGTGCAGGGCAGTGAGGATCACCTGCCCCACTTGGCACCTGTGTGGCAGCTGCCCCATGGCACGGGCACAACATGGCTCAGTAGGGCACCACACGCTGACTGGGAGCTGGGGCCACTGCGGCTGAGCCCTGCCAGGCTCCGGCTGACAGGAGGAGCTGTCCAGCTCCCAGACAGCGCGTTGCTGCCGCACAGGTGCCAGGCGAGGCAGGGGGCAATCCAC